TTGAAAAACACCGTGTAACACTGTTTAAAGGATTCTTGGTGAATCTCTTTTTGAATATTTCTTTATTATAAACCACTTTTTTAATTTTTTCTTTGGGAATTATCCTTTTAAAAGCAATTCCACTTGGACACACTAGTCAAAGATAAATTTGATTACAATATATACACATTTGTATATTTTTAGATATCTCTTTTTCTTTTATTTTTTCTTTTCTCTATTATAGTTTCTTGAAATCAGTTCCTTAAAGGATAATAGGCAGTAATAATTTACTGACAATAATGGATAAGTTAGAAGGGTCTTTATTCAAAACTTATTCCAGAATGAAATATTGTTTCCAAGATTACACTTAGAGATTTAAGCTTATTTGAAAATTAAAAGCTGTTGATAAGTAAGTCAGCATAAGATTTAGTTTAGCCATGATATAAATGTCCAATATATCTTTATCAGTTTTTTTCAAGATTAATAAATACACAATGTTGACCTGACCACGGGTTTAAAAAAAAATAAAAAAAAAATAAAAATTAATTATATGATATTTTTGTGAATTAAAAAAAAAGAAAATTCAAGTTTTACTATCATATTTAAATAAAAATATATTTAATATAAAAAACAAATATAATAAAAATAATAAAACTTAAATATAATTATATAATATTTAATTATGCTATTTATTTAAATAAAAATATACATATGTACTGTATATGTATATATTTTATATTTAATTATATCTATTAATATTTAATTGTACAAGGGTTTCGATAGCTTGTAATTTATATGAACCAGAAATTGTTACATGCAAGTTTAATAAACGCGACATCCAGTAAGAAAATATGCTTTAGTAGCAAAAATAACATTATAGTGTACAAACCAATGGTTAAGTAAAAATAATATAAGTTGTTTTTTTTTTTTTCGAATATAATAACGTCCACGGTTTCTCCACCATATGTAGAATAAACCCAACCGATTTTTTTTTTTTTAGAAATTTAAATGATAGTAGTAAATTCAAAACTCGGTAAAAGAAAAGCCAAGCAAAATACCAGAAATTCTCTTGTTTTTTTTTTTTTTTTTTACAAATGAGATTAATAGTGTGAATGATGATGATGATGATGGCTCTTATGAGAACCTTTCTCCAATTTGCTCACATCATGCTTTCCATCACAACATTGTCGCACATTTTCCAAATCTTCGTCTTCATCATCTAACTCACCCTGAGAAGAACTTGGAACAACTAATTGTTGAGGTTGACCATCGACGAATTCTGATGACAGTGGGGAGTTGGGTAAAGAAGATGATGCGTCTTGTCGACGAAACATTGATTGAAGTTTACTGAAACTTGACTTTTTCTTAACCTCCCTGACATTATTTCCTTTTAACGAACCGTTGGGTGATGTACTGGTATGCAGGTTATGAGAGTGCGATTGGTTATCCCATGGATCCGAACCGGTTTTTGACGGTCGTCCAGCCGTCTGACCTTGACCAACCTGACCAGTCTCATCATGTCGTTGTAGCAAATAGCTTAAGGCCTACACAAAATAGGTGCATATAATTATAGTTATATGTGATTCGAGTAAAGTGAATATCTCGATTCCGATTCAAAGACTAACCTGATACCAATAATCATGCCTCTCTTTAGAGGGGGCAGTAAACTTCAATTCGCGTTCAGGGGTCTTTATGACCAGACTCATATGATATATACCAGGTGGAGAAGGATTGTGATCAACTACTTGATCGACAGCCTCGATATATGCTAATAAAATAAATCCACAAAAGAAATTTAGCAAAAAAAAAAAATCATGAGGATTTTTTGCAAGACTTGTATTTACCGAAGTATGACATTCCACTTTTTGACTTTGGATCGGTAGGTTCATAACTTCCTGGGTCTTTGTTACTCCAGTATAGAGTTTTTGTGTAAGGGTGAACCCAAAAGAATCTTTTATGTCGCTTTTCAGATATACCTCCAAAGTTACGTCTTGTATACTTCCACAAGTATTCTCCAATCATTGTTTGGGTAATAGCGTGAATAATGTTTGGATCTGTGCCTGTTGTTCCAGTCGCAGGTCCACCAATCTCCTGATGTGACGAATCAGATCGTCGACCAGCTACATCTGCAGATGTGGAGGCACTACTTGCAGTTGACACTGAACCCGAGCTAGGCGTGTGATGATGAGAAACTTCGGTACCGTTGTTAATTCCTCTTGATCGGCTTCCATTTGAGTATAAAGTGTTGTCGCGTAAGCTGTCTGATCCTTTTTGTCCCGGAATACTGTTAAGGAACTGTGAAATTTTTGGTGATCCAGCCTGTTGTCCGAAATCCACAGATGCGGGACGTTGAGTATTTATGGATGACGGAGGACCGATTGAGGGACGTGGTGGAGGAGCTAAACCACTAACTTGGTCAGTGGGTTTGTCTGAATTCTGTGGAACTCCATTTCTGTCTTGTTGGTTATTAAAGTGAGAACCTTCAGTCTCGTTATTTTTTAAAGGCTGTCCTTGTTGATTGTGAATATCTCTCTGTTGGCCTGATTGCGAACTTAGGTCAAGGGTGAATCGTTTAATATCGACATTATTATCGTCGGGTGAAAGTAGAATCGATTGTCGAGTGTTTTGATCGTCATTATTTGACCCTTGCATGTCAAAAATAGTGTCTCTGTTTCCAAACGTAAACTTACCCGTATAAATTGTTGAAAGTGAATCGCTTCGCGCCGCCATTGGATCTGTCTGCACTTCAACGTTTCTAAATGTCTTGTTTGGAATATTAGACTCTTCGGAAGTTAAAACGTTAGCTGTTTTAGTTGAATCTTTTTTATGTAATTGCGGGGTATCTCGTTTTGATGAACGTTTTGAAGTGGGAATGTTCGAATCTCTTCTCGATGAAGCAGATCCCCTTTTAGAATCCGCATTCGTCTCAATTGCCGACTCGAAAGAATTAACGGATGAGGCATCATCATCGATTTCCGGATGTGGAGTTGATTCATCTTGTTCATCTTCACCTTGGGAAGATTTTTGGTTCTCTATAATTTCATAATCACCATCCTTCAGACCGCCCCTTGCACTAACTACCGATTCTCTGTTGTTCGAATTACTATCAATAAATTCTTCAATTTCTATGTTCTGGGAGATAGCTGACATTCGAGGTGATTTAGATGATCGAGTTGAAGGACTTCTATTTACTTTAGAACTAGTCAGGCTATCGAGTGCTTCAGCTCTACGTGCTTCAACCTCTTCTTTATCTTCCTCTTCATCTTCTTCTTCCCCTGGAATGTCTTCGTCGATCCTATTAGACATTCTAGACAATAATGAAGACGCTCTAGTAGAAGACGCTCGAGTAGAAGATGCTCTACTATTTCTAGAGTTTTTCCTGGGTAAAAGATCAGGTTTCCAACCGCGAGGCCGAGGCCTAAACATATCTGATGATGGACGATTATTCTTATCAATGAATGTCTCTTCATCTCCCTCTTCAACGGCAATAATATCATCATCTCCAGATTGTGAGTCCTCGTTTACGAGAATATCTGAGTGTCCATTTCCTATTCCAGATAGTTTCTTCTGGTTCATAGCGGATAAATCATCCAATTCATAGCGCATCATTTCAATCTGTTCCTGACTATCTGAAAGAAGCTTCTTAACCTCATACTTTTCACTCTTTTCTTTTTGGAGGTTCGCTCGAAGGCTGCCAATCATGCGGTAAGCCACACTAAGTGCCTTCAAAGTCTCCTCAAGACTTAGATTTTTACCTTGCAAAGCTGCTGGAATTCCTGAAGTCTCAAGGTTAGAGGACGGCTCGCCATCCCCAACCGAAGGCTCCGCGCCTGGTTCCGGGGTGCGTTTTCTTATATTTCTTGTGGCCGCAACAGAATCAAGTTGAGCCTTCAAATCACCAACCGCTTTTAATAAATCATTTTTCTCTCGATTAAGAGCGGTGACATGCCTTCGATTATTGGCCATATCCTTTTCATGTCGATTACTCAAATTTTCGAGGTTTGTTATCAATTTCTCTTCTTTGTCTTTGAGTTGCTCTATAACATCAGTTGCAGTGGCAAGAGCCTTTTCTATTTTCGTATAATCGTTGCGTGCTCTATTTAGTTGCTGTTGAAGGTCTTCTAACTGGTTAGTAAGATCTTGCCGCATCAATTCGAGGTTCCAATTAGCATCCTTAAGTTGTGCTAATAGAAAAATTTTTTGTTTATTATTTGTAAAGAGATGTAAGCAATCTAAAAATACATTAATTTACCTTCTGCCTCTTCTTTTGACCGAACTTGTTTTGTAAGAATTTCAATAACGCGCTCCAATTCAGCTTTATCTATTTCAAGTTTTTTTATCCCCTCTTCTTTTTCTTGCAGTAATATCGTTAAACGCTTGACTTCTTGTAGCAAACCATGCCCTATTTCTGCCGCTAATTCTATGTCCCTCTTTGGAGGTTTTCCTTTCTTATTTTCGTACCTGCTTTTTCCTTTCAGTGTACTTGTCGGCGTGGAGCTTGGTTCTGAGGTAGGTGTGGAGACCGACGAACCCGGAGAATTTATATCCGATCCTCCCTGACATAATGAAATTTTAAAATTTAATTTCAGAATTTGCAACCGAAATTTTATTCCCTAGGATGATCTATACTGACTATCCGGTCATCTTTTGTGCAATCCATGGTCAATATATAAGGAACTCTGAAAAACATACATTCGACATATATGGAGTACCCAACGTTTAAATCAATAGGTATGAATAATAACTTACCAGTGCTAGACCTTTGGAACCAACAAGGATTTCTGCAGTATTTGCGTTTAGTGCCTTCGCATCTTGTTCGAGTGCGGCTATTCTATCTTTAAGATCCTGAGGTACTTCGTCATCTTCAGTTTTATCGAGCTCCTTGATTCTTTCCTCCAATTCGTTTTTTTGTCGTACCAGAGCATTACCCAAATTGGCGGTCTTCTCTATTTGAAGTACATTTTCGTTTAACTGATCTTGCAGTTGTTTTTTTATTAACGCGGCGGAAATGTATATGGTACGTCGTGGTGATTGTGTCACTGGAGAAGACACCACGATGTCAGGTCCAAGGCCGTCGGAGCTATTTACTTTAAGATTCGGAGTAGCCGAATTTGAGTTATCGCTAGTTTCTACGCTATCCATTTTGTTCTATGTTATGTGCGTATATAAATTTTTTAAAGGAAGGTTGAAGTGTAAACGAATGTTGGCTATGACAGTAAAGGATAATACAAAGTCAAAATCCTTCTAATAGTTCAACATGGCGAATGGGAAGGGTGATTAATGAGATTAATGTTGACTTTATATATGGCTAAAAGGTGAACCGGTTTAAAATATAAATATATAAGTTTTATTTCTCTTGATAGATGTTGAGGGTGAGTTGATTAGAATCTAATATTATCCACTCTTTGAAAATAAACGAGAGTGGGAGATTGAGAACTTTGCAAGGATGAAATTTTATAAAGATTGGAAATAAATATAAAGTACAATAAAAGAAATAAAAAGGAAGACAAGACGATTTATTTTTTTATTTGTTCATTCAAAAAAAAAAAGAAAAAAACCCAATACAAAAGGGTTTACTGTACGTATATGTTGTGTCCTTGCTAAGTATAGGTGATTTGTGATGAGTGTTGTGCATCACTAATAATTTTCACCACATGAACAGCAAAAACAGACGAATGCCCAACCCTTTAATTTCTTAGTCATCAATATAATTGCATACGCGAAAATGAAATTCGATAAAAGTTTATTTCGTTAAATTAAGAGTACATTTGACATAATGAAAACGTCTAATATTGTTTATTATCATTTAAGTGTTGTTTTATTAAGAGTATACCATTGGATGTTATTATACTGTTTAACAAGTCGTGCATTGCTTTAAGAATTAATTAAACAAATAATATAATATATTTATATGCTTTATAATTTAATAAAGATTATAATTAAATTGATTTTTATTTGAATAATTTAAATAAAATTATTAATTAATTTTTATCAGGTTTAGCAAACTTATTAAGTTTAATCTTTGAAAACAATATTTTATTCTATAATAAATTTTGGATCAAACTTTTCTAACTTATATATTATTGTTAACAAATTATTATTATTTTATATTTTATAAAGTCACTAAAATATAAAAAATTACAAAAGAAAATAAATAAAAGAAAATTATTTAAAAATATACAAATATAAATAATTTTTTTTTTAAAAAAAATAAAAAATTCTTTTTGCTGATTCTCTAATCATACATAAAAAAGATGTTTACAAGAAGTTTTTTCAGTTTTTTACTAATAAAGTCTTAATACTTTCTATAAAACAACTTGAAATCTAATTTCAAGAGTTATCTTTACTCTTCTTCTATTATTTACAAGTTTTTTTATTCAAAAATCTGACTTTTAATAATTAAAAAAAGTTAAATAATATTTTTGATATCAATAATAAAAAAGTTTTCAATGGAAGAAAAATTGATTGTAAATTATCTAAAAACTTTTTTAACCTTTGAAGTAAGAGATTTAAAGAGGTTTTATTATAGTTAAAAGATTTATTTTCTTTCTTTTAAACTATCTTAATTCTCTTAGAACTTTCACTTTCATGATTTTCTAAAAAATTTTATCTATCTCAGTTTAACCTAAATTTTTAATAGTACAAATCCTTATTAAAGATAATTGACTGATATGAAACACATTAGTTTCTAGAATGTAAGTAAGCTCCTATTAGTCACACTAATATATTTCAATAATATTATTGATGATTAAAAAGAATATTTTTAAAATATTTGTCCTTAAAAAGCTCAAGTTCCTTAATAAAGATTTTTATAATATCAAAAAATCAAGTAATAGATAATGTGAATTACAAACTCTTATCTTTTACTTAAGTTTCTCAAGTGATAATGAATAATAAGTTCCTAAAGTATTTAGTATATAAAATTATATAGATCACTTATGTTCCTTTTTGAGGAACAAATTCATAGTTTTTTAATTTAATAGAAACAAAAGTTAGAAAATACTATAAATCAATAATTTGGATAATGAAAAATAACTGTAAGTGGTTTTTTTATAATTATTAATTTAAAATTTTTAATATTTCCTAGTAAGGGACATTTGACTTTTATTTTTACTTTTCTCTTTAAAAATCCATTTTTAGTAGTGATAAAACTTTAATAAAAAAAGCTGAAATCTAAATACTTTTCTTGAAATATTTCAATTTAATATTCGCTTAAATAAAAAATTAATTGGATTGTTTATTCTATACTATAGGTGGTGAAAAAGAAGATTTCTTCTGAGATCAAGTAAAACAAAAAGACTATTTCAATTAGACAAATTTCTTTTGAAAAGATATTGTTTTTATTTTTAGACTTTTTTGATAGATCTTGAATTGTTCTCTTCTCCTAATTAATTTTTTTATTATCCTTTTTAACTTACCAATTCATTGATTTTTGAAACAATTAATAGTAATAAACTGTTAATAATAATCCTGATAAATAAAGATTATTATCAATTTATTAGAAAAGTATAATATTGTTCTTCAAATCTGATCTAGAGTACTTATATATAAAAATAAGTTGATTACTTTATGAAAAGTTATAAACTATTATAGATTTTTTTTTAATTTTTTAATAAAAACAAGTATTGTAACATAATTGCAAGCTAAAAAAGAAAAAATAATAATAAATAAATAATTATTTTTAAAGATGAATTAAAAATTTTTTAAATCTAAAATTATAATTCTAAAATTTTAAAATTTATATATATTAATTTTATTTTATTTTTCTAAACCTATAAGACTAGTATAGTATATTTATTAATCTTTATAAAAACCTATAAAAATAAATTGAACAATTATATTATGACTAAACTAAATTTCATATTGACTCATTTATCAATAGCTTTTAATTCTCAAAAAAGCTTAAGTTTTTAAATATAACCTTGAAAATAATATTTCACATTATAATAAATTTTAAATGAATATCTTTTCAACATATCTATTACTGTTAATAGGTTGTTGCTATCTATTATATTTCAAAAAATTGATTTTAAAAAACTATAATAGGAAAAGAAAAAAATAAAAGAAAGAGAAATATTTAAAAATATATAAATATATATATATATATATAAATAAAAGTATTCTATATTCTTTAAAGATTCTTTACTAAAAATCTTCTCTTATTAGAAATTTATCTTTCTGAGATATTCTTTTTCTTTCTGATTATCTTCTGATCAAATCCAATATTTATTCAATATTTTTTTTTTTTCAATATTGATTTTGTATCAATATATATAGACTGATAGTTTATAGTAAATCCCAAATTCTTATATGATCTTTTAATTATATTATATAACTTCTGATATCTTTTAATAGTTATATCTAATTAAAGAAATTTTATTGATAAATATTTTCTATTGCTTAAAAAGTCAAATTTTTAAATAGTTTTTTTGTTATGCAATGATGAAAAAGTATTACAAAATAGTAAAAATTCTCATTAATTATAATATTATTATATTATATTTGGAAAAATACATTCTCAATCATAAAAAAAGAAATAAATCATAATCTTTTACTTTTCAGTTTTACTGTCTAACTAGAAAAAAAAAACAATCTTCTTTATATACTTTACTTGATTAGAATAATAAGAAATTGAAGAGATCTGTGGGTCAATAGTACAGTAGTAGTGCTCTCAGGTCGAAATTACAAGGTCTGAAGTTCAATATCACATGAAGACCATATGAAAAATATTACACACAATGAAAAAATCCATTGGATGACAAATCAACATTTGTCATTGGGCGTAGTCCTGGCTATCTTACCGATATCCAAAATGGATCTCCACCATAATATAGTGTCACCTATAGCTGATATTTATCAGATAAGACCGGTCTATAGGTGTTGTGGACGATCAGTATCTTATCATTACCCTGATAAGATGAAAGAGGATAGGGTTGATCTCGTGGTCAACTGGGACAGAAACCAGATTGACAAAAAGTACTTTGCCAATCTTACCGACCGAAAGAAGCTATTAAGTTAAGAAAACCGAAGTTCTAGAACAGAGTAAACATTGTACCGGTGAGATGCTTAAAAGCATGACCAATTCAGTAACTGATATTTATCAAGAAACCTTGGTGGAAAAAGAAATTCATTAGACCACACCAAAGGATCAAAATCCTGATTCAGGTTATAGTACATAACAGTTTGATAACTAGATTACTCTATAAAATTGTTTTAGGAAAAATTAAGATAGTGTCATGCACTCTCCCTTAAATAGACTTTGGTTAGGTCTGGACTAGTTTGTATATAGTGTGTAATATATTTACCATATAATAAGCATATATGTAAACATTATTTCGTAGTAAATAAAGAGTGTAGGATCCTCTGACCATACACAAAAAAGATATTTGCAAGAAGTTTTATACTTCTTTGCTAATAAAGTCTTTACATTTTCATTAAAACAACTTGAAG